CACATGGAACCTGCCTATTTTGCTTGACTCTGCATTCCTTCAAGAAAACTGAATGACGGCAAGTAGGTATTTATCAGTGGGTGTAGCAAGGGCAGGGGGTTTCGTAGAAAAACAATGTCAAATGGGAATATAATTTCTATAATTTTGAACACCACTATGATCAGCACTATAAGCCAGTTACCACTACTCACTGTAAGCTGTTACTCACTCTGCTGACCCATTGTTACTCCTTGACTTCACCCCCTTCCATGACCCACTCCTCTTAGCTACCTGAGCCACAATGTACTGGCCTTGCTGGCCAGCAAACACCAGGCAGACCAAGGATCTTACGCAGTATGGTACTCAGACTGGGTGGCTCTCTGCTGGCCTGAGTGGGGTCTGGGTCTCCCAGACTGGGTGGCTCACTGCTGGCCTGGGTGGGGTCTGGGTCTCTCAGATTGGGTGGCTCGCTGCTGGCCTGGGTGGGGTCTGGGTCTCTCAGATTGGGTGGCTCGCTGCTGGCAGAGGTACAGAGAAGGTGTAAAAGGGCAGCTAATATGTAAGCTTATGTGCGGGGAATTACACTGTCCACAGAGCAGGCGGACAACAGTTTATGCTACATCACAATAGATTCAAGTCAAGCTATATATCTTCAAGGTTCTCCCCTCAAAGAGAAGGCAGTGACCGGCACATTTAACAGCTTGCAGGTTTACTCCAGTCAAGGACCAGAAGGACATTTTGTCAACATGCAGGAAAAATCAGGGCACAGATGTTTATGCAGTGTAGTGCTACACAACTGCAAGGAGCGGCCCCCAGTACAGAAAGAGACAGGAACGTAGGAAACTTGGGGGGAGGGGAGATGGGCGTGTACCATTTAATATTTATTGCTTTATATTTTAATTATTAGGTTGTACCCCCCGCCCCCCGCTCCCACACCAATGGAAAGAGAGCAATTGTTTTGGTGGGTCAGGGTCTAGGATGAACACTGGAAAGAAAAAAGAAATGCCAGTATGACAAGACGTCTAATAATCACATTAGCGAGGATCTACACGGACTAAACAATCTTCAAACAAGTTCTTATATTCCTCAAAGCATGAGATTCTCAAACACAGTTTCATTACAGAAATGCGTTTGCTGGGCATGATGAACTGGGTGTTATTACCACGTGGTGTAAAATCCCTGCCTGAAGGGATAATCAACCCAAAACCACTCATCCAGACTAGATAGCCAGAGCAGCAAGTCACTGCATTACACACTCAACTTCCTGGCACTGAATTCTACCCACCCGATAGTCTTTCATTCAGAGGAGGCCACTGTTTCAGCTCTTTTGTTCACTGAGGAACGAGCTTGACTGCCTGTCTAGGACAGATGCATGTGTGCCTTGACATACAAGCAACACGCAACTCGCTTACAAGGAAGCCCATGTTGGAGTCTCTGAAAGGGTGACATTTCTACTTTTGTACTTTTCACTTTTATAAGGGACATGTGACAAGTCATTAATGGCATGAAAAACTGCAAACGACAAGTTTACAAAGAGAGGAAAAAGTGCATTTTGACCCTGTTTTTCCCCACACATGCTTAACACACAAACAAACACAACTGCACTAAGAATTTTCTAGCAAAATAACACACTGAAACTGAGAGGGCAAATGTAGCAGTAACATATATTATATTTCAGTGGACTCATTTTCACAGGATAACATTCTTCTGACCCCATGTCTCATGAGTATAATAATATTTAGAAAAACATTCAGAAAATAGATTTTATGGGAAAGAGACACTTAACCTGCTGAATCTTGTTCTAATAGATATGCCTTGGCACCTTGGCTTAGTCTTTCTATGACATATGATATGATTAATGCTAGTGTAAACATTATTGAAATCAAGAGAAGTAAGAATGATTCTATCTGAAGGCATCCAGTAGATAAAACACCATGCAAGATGGACGGAGCCACCAAACAGAGAGCCTCTAGTTCTCTTCTTAGGTGAAACTGGTTTTATTTATCTGGCTAAAGTACAATACAGATTAAAAAACGAAGGCATTTAAAAAGCTAGATAAATCTCCAAAGCAGACCTGGATGAGTATATTGCTTAATGGGACATCAGCAACGTGCAGCCCCAGGCCTGAGCGGCAGTGCTAGTTCCAGAAGAGAAGCCCTTTGAACACCAACTCTGGCTGCCCTTGTGACATCAGGCCTCGTGTCCTGGGCCCAAATCTATGGTCCCTCATTTTTCATTGTCATCCAAGAGGGGACTAACACAAACAAACTGGTCGGGGGCGATGATGGATCTCAGGCAATCAGTGTTGTCCAGCCTACTAGAAAATTGGCTTTTGTCCAAATCTGTACAGCTTCATACTGCTCAAATAATAGTTTTGTCTGTCTGCAAGCGGTTGTGGTACTTTTGCCACAAATACGTTTCTGCAGGGGACCCTTATGTCAGCGTCAGCATTACTGTGTCCCCCGAATCACCGCCTGCAATCCTTAGCTATTTCGGCAAAGCCACAATCCAGGAAGGAGGAGATAAACAATCAACTGAGATTTTCAGAGAAAGAAAATGCTTTGTTTTTTATGTTATTGAGTCACAGAAACACCATGTCAGAGTAGTATTTCCCCACTACATTGGGGTACACAAAGTAATATGAAAATAAGGACTTATCCTGAGCATTGATATGGAACAAGCAGACTTTCCCTGCAGCCAGAAACAACTGTAGAGATTGTGGGCCCCATGAATGCATATCACATTGGGCCCCCAACCCAGAACAATCCAATTATATTGCAAATTTTTTAGGGCCCCCATCACTCCAGGCCATTGGAATCATGTCACTCCCCCACACCCCTTATGGCAACAAAAGTTAGACTCCACATCATTGGCCATTAGAAGTGATGCGATTTAACCTAAAAAAAATCCAGCAAATTTGATAATCAAGCAAACAAAATGTAACAGCCCTTTATTAGTATTATTTAGGCTACAGTACAGATTTTCATGGTTCAGTTCAGTTCACAGGTCACAGTTCAGTGAATTTGGGTTATTGTTCAGAGTAAATATGCAGATGAAATGAATAATCAGGCAGAAAATAATAACACGTTCCTCAGGTAGCAACCTTTTACTGGTGAGAATAACAAAAACATATTGTCCTTAAATAAACAAATATTCTGTCATGCACGCTGTCATTGTGCCCAATTCTACTGATTCTTGATTTGCTGACCAGGTTGTCACTAAGCAATCAAGTCAGTGATTACTTGAGGGGCGAGACCACAGTCCTGAGTGTCTTTCTTTATGGCTTTATTTCCCTGATTTTTTAAATTGTTTTGACTTACAGCATGAGATTCCATAACCTTACAGTCGCATATTTTCAGTATCATGAATGCGAGATACTGTACATCATATAGTTCTTGCACTCGTTGCATTTGGTGTGCAGCCGCGGTTCCAGGATATTAAAAGTACATACTTGTCCATTTTTGTAAATTCTTGCGCAGTGTATGTAGATGCCGTCCCCGACTTATGTCTGGGTTCCATCCCAACAGACATCCACTTACACTTACGAGCAGCCCGGCGGAACAAGATAATCACGCTGACGTTTAGGTGGGAGGGTGAGACTACGAGCTGCGCGTCAGGCTGGGATGATCACTCTGCCGCACCACAGACCTGCAGTACCTTCCTGCGACCACATGCAGAGTGGCGCATGCGGCAGGCGGCGCAGCTCTGCCGGCTGTACGGATGCACAAAATGTATTTTTACATGCATTTTAATTTTTTTTTTTTTTACTTCAGTCTTAAGTGAGATTCATCGTAAGTTGCATATGTTGTAAATTAGGAACAGTCTGTATTAAAAGTCAAAACTGTCCAGTTAATACAATCAAGAAAAACCTAGCACATGCCACATAATAATTATGAGTCTTTTCCAGGATCTGTGGAACAAGTTACTTTCTGATCACATAATTCAATTTTTTTGAATCTCCAAGGAGAAAATGAGATCATACCATCCAACCATTTACAAAGTAAAGCTGTCTTACTCTTGCCTTTAATGCTGGGCTCTGGATGCATTAGACACACAAAGCTGCGGGTCGCTCCAAGTAAGGCAAAGAGCCCATGTGAAACTAGCAGACTACATTAGACCTAAACTCCCCATCAACAGCTCATCTGCTCTGGAATGCGAGCTATTCAAAGGCAGTCCAATGGGATGCGAGAAAAACCAAGGCGATGAAGTCCAGGGAATTTCTGCATGGACAGACAGGGATGCATTACAAAGCATCCCTGAAGTTAGCTGAGCTGAATCTGTTTAGCCTCGCGCAAAGGAGACTTAAAGGGGGACATTATCCAGGTATATAAGATTCTAAAAGGCCTGGATGCTGTTCAGCTAAATGGCTACTTCAATATTAGTTTAAATACTAGAACTCGTGGCTATAAGTGGAAATTAGCAGGAGAACATTTTAAAATGAATTTGAGGAAGCACTTCTTTACATAGCGTGTAGTTAGAGTATGGAATAGTCTTCCTACTAGTGTTGCGCAAGCTAAAACCTTTAAATCAGAGGAACCTTTAAATGTTCCTTTAAATCAGAGCTAGATAAGATTTTAACAACTCTAAGCTATTAGTTAAGTTCTCCCCAAACAAGCTTGATGGGCCGAATGGCTTCCTCTTATTTGTAATTTTTTTATGTTCTATAAACTTGCAGGTCCCACAGCAAAAAACTGAACACGGTGGATTATGAAAAAAATATGTGCTTGAAAGACTTACAACGTTTCTGTCTACTGCTACACCAAGCGCAGCTTGACACATTGTGTTTGTAGGACCTCCTTTGTATGCTACAGATACTGCAGGGGTAAACACATAGTGGTCAAGGGGCCAAATCCTGACATCCATTGTCAGAGAGCATCTTTCTCCAATGACTTCTGAAGGGCAGATTTATTGAGATCAACCCATCTTAAATTTTCAACAGTTCCATTCGGGGGAAACTGTAAAACTGTTGCTCACTCATTATGTTGTACTTTATTTTGATACTTTGTTCTGGGAAGACTTACATGTCCATGGTGTTTCTTGAAATCTCTGGGAAGGCAGAGCTTACTGCTGGCTTGGCTCAGATTGCAAGCTCTGCGCAGGCGTGGAGAAAGGAGGGCCGCCCTCATTGCGTAAACAGTCAGCTGCTCCGCCCCCTGACAGAATCAACCAATAAGAGAATAAAACTATCATGGATGCAGTTGGGAGGTTGAAATCACGCACTACCTTAGATATCACCTAAAGAAGGTCGACATTCAGATAGTTAATTTAACTTTTACTTAACTGTTAGTCATCATAAATCTTACCTTTATTCCATACAGTTAAACTCCCTCAACACTATATGCACAAATATGATTGCTTCCTCACTATTCAATTAACGTGTCTCTATTGATAATTTAATAGTACGTATTACGAATTACGAAATGCTAGCTTTGTACTTTACCTCAAATTTAAACCACAAATACTGGGAGCCTCTTGATTATTTTTTGTGGTCTCCGTATGTCTTATATATAGTATAATTAACTTCATGCTGTACTGAGTCTCTTCCATTTCACCGTACTGGGGCAACATTAATACGGGATAACTAATGAATGAACACAATCACTACACAACAAAGGCAACATAATAGGCTACCTTTATACCACAATGATTTTTTTTTTTGTAATTTACAAGTGTTTATTCATTGAGACAAGGAAACAAACGAAGAGAAACCAAAGTACAAAGTACGGCTTTTACTTAAACGCCGAGTTGCCTGTGAAAATGTCAAAATGCATTATCAATAAAATGAGAAAATGATTAGTCTTTCGTTTAAGAAAAGAAAATAAAAACACAAGTGGAACAGAATCTCTAATAAAAAGTCAACAAATATAACAAATATTCTTATTTACTGTAGGTCTTAAAATCAGCCTGAAAATAACAGTAAATGTATAAATGAATGTTCAAATTATTACCGCTTTAGACTATAAATGCAGTTAATTAAAATGTTAAGAAGAAATGACAGTAAGAAAATCTGTTTGGCGTTTGATTTTTATACAGTGCTACAGCAAAACTATCGCATGACGCGCAACACAAAAGTTTTTTTTTTTTAATATACCTTGATCAGCATTATTTTTGTTTTATATTCTTCAAAAATACTAAGAACCGCTTATATAGACTCCCGGATTTCAAAATCAGTCCCAACATGAGGGGCATCTTTTTATTACGAAAAAAAAGAGGGGGAAATGCAACAGAGATACGTCTCATTATTTAGCTATTTTAATTCTAAATGACACGGCACGGCCAATATTGTTTTGTGATTATTAAACGCCAGCCATAAACAAGTGACTGAGAATTAACATGAAATCTTGAACAAACTGCAGAGCATGTGACTTAACATGCATGATGCAGAATAAGGCGCAAATTATGCACACGCACACAACCGCAAGATTTTCTGCGCCGTGTTTCTTAGCTTTTAGTAATTATCCAGTCGCTTTTCCGATTAAACTGTCATACTGTAAGATGTAGCTACAATTCAGAAAATGTGATTTTTACACCGGTTTAATTAATATACTACGATATGTATAGAGCACTATAAATATGAAATGCAATCCAGTCATTTATTAAACCGTAATTTATCATATTGAAAAATAAAGGTGATGCAATTTTAAATGTAAAATTTAATTACACCAGATAGTATTTCTATATTGTTTTAATGGGCATTTCCAACACGATTCAGAAGAGGCAAAGCATTTCTGATTTGTGTACCTCTGGATGAGTTATCGTTCGTTCTCATGGAAGTTGTATGTTTGTCAGTGTGGGATTTCTAGCCAACACGATAATCTAGCAGGTTTGCGTAAATCGTCGCGAAATCTTAATATCAGTTATGATGGCGTGTTTGCGTTAAGACAGACCGAATGTATAGGACGCGCTTGTCAAATAGGTAGTGAAGCCGCATGCGTCTTTGTAACTATCCGTCACACAGTTTGAGATCAGAGTTACTAGAGACTTGGAACTCAATTAAGCAAGTATAAAACCAAATGAATTAAGAAGCACGTGATTTATTTCAGCTCAGTCAACGTATTTCCATCCAGAAACAAAGAACAATTCAGTATAACGGGTTACACCTTTATACTCATCGGCAATATTTTAAACATTGTTTTGTGGCAGAATATTGAAATAATACATGCCTTTCTTGTACAGCTTAAGTTCACAATATACAGTACAGGGTTCAAAGTGACATGAGATATTTTAGCCTGCAGGTCAAAGTACTGTAGATTCTCTCTAAACTCCATTAACAGAAACTCATTGACTGAAATCCTTTTAAAATTGTATTTTTAAAATTAATATAGAAAAAATTGCCCAAAATAAAATCGGACAATTTTCTCTTGAGTTAAGTTTGTATTGATTCCCCATAGTGTATTTGGAAACACGTCACAATCGCCTAAAACTCAGTAATATTTAGCCCTAATTATTAAGCTTAACTGGTATTGGCTCTGGGAAAAATAGGTACGGTTAGAAGCTGTTTAGCGTGTAGGCCTAATATATTATCATTAGTCTGACATCGGATTAAAGTAACGTGTTTTATACAGGGGCGTACTTAGACATTCTGCCCCTGTTTTACATATTCAAGGGCCCCTGTGTTAGGCCCCTGGAATCTGCCAGGGTATTCATGCCCAATGACGCCTTCGGTTTTATAACTGGTTTTATCGTCAGATTCCTTTTATGTGTCTTCAAGTACCCGGGACCAACAGAATGAACATACATTTAAGCAGGAGGATTTCATATCAACTCATGCGGGGATGTTTACCAATACCAGCCAATTATTTATGAAGCTTGCACACGCGCCGCATAATTAGGCAGAACAGTACGTCAGGTTAACTAAATTTCTGTTCCAACAAAAATTCTATTAATTTATATTGCTTTTAAACAGGAATTCCGCAATCAGCATCACTATAGGAATACCATGTTACACAAACGGTTAAAATAAAAGGAAGCGTTACATCGATTTTGCATAAAGTTACGCATCGCCTTTTCGAATGACATTTGTTCTACTCTTAAATACAGCTTGTTTAGCGGCTACATAGACACAGCAGTCTGCGATATATTCGTAACATATTATCTGCTTTAAAATCACACTTCTCACCGTAATGTCTGCACATTCCTCATAGATATCACACTAATACATTCGGCAGACTTTTACAGACTTTTGCAAATGCATCATGGAAAACTAAACATTATGCTTTGCAACATTCACAAATCCTGCGGACCAGGACGGACGTCATGGCAGAAGACACAGCGACAGCACGGTAGGCCTGCACTGTAGTGTGAATATAATACAGCACTGCGTGCGTATACCTAAATGGCACACTGAAGATAACGTTTTTCTTCGAACAGCATGAATTCTGTATGCCAGAATACATAGACATTTGTTTTACGTTTCTGTAAAGTTCATCCACAGCATATTTTAAACATGCAAGGCGAAAAGACCCCCACAAAAACCCGAGTTGGAAAGGTTAACGATGAAACCGAAATAGTAGCCAGGGGCGGGGTGGTAGGTGACGGCGGTGCGCGAGCTGCTGTCAGTATCTGCGCGTTATCGTACTGCAAGGAGGATCGCGGTACATGCACTATGTTTTATTTAGATTATTACCTTATTCAGATATTGAATATGCATTTGGCTTAATTGGTAGTAAAATTAACCGCTTGTTCAATTTTTTGAGAGACAAATTCTCTATTATTTCTGAAACTGCAGGTAATGTAGCTAGCCTATACCTTTAATTGAGTATAGAAAAATATGTAAAAATGGACGCGGTTGTGTATCAGTAATTATCCTTCGAAGAAGAGGAAATGTACTACATTAACTTCGTTTACATTTATAGAGACCTAGTTTCACGGTGAAAAGACTCAGTAGATGAAAGACAGGAGGTTAGGTTACTGCAGGAACGGTGAGAGCTTTCGGACTACAGCGGAACGCCATCCACCCAACGGCAGCTCTCTCACTCCGGAAGACTTTTCCCATCATTACGGATCAAACGTCTACTCTTTCCATTATAGATGATGTCATACAAATAAAGTGCTATCAAAGATCCTCCAGCGGACTTTTGGAAATGGTTTGTTCAAGGTATCCGTTCTAAACATTTAAAACGTGGACGTTCCGGTTGGCGTTTCCCAATATACGATTTCCTCTTTACTGCAATATACTCCGCGGAGTGTGTTGAACGGGAGTAACAGTAAAAGTGGGATGATTTCTGCAATATCCAGCCCGTGGCTGACGCAGCTCTCTCATTTCTGCGACGTTGCCGCCTTCACCACAAACAGCCTGAACAGCCTCAGCACTCCTGGGAGTTTCCGTCTCCCCGCGACGCCCCGGGATTCCTACCCTCAACGCGACTCTTTCTTCGAGCCCCGCACCGTCGCCCAACATGCCGACAGCTACCCGAGGTGCAATCAAGCTCAGTCCCCGCCGAGCGATGCCGGGACCTCCAGCTGCCCCTTATCCTCCGCCATGGCGCCCGGCAGACATCCACTGGTAAAAAAGAACCCTAAAGTGGCCAACGTTACCGTCCAGTTGGAAATGAAGATACTCTGGGATGAATTTAATCAGCTTGGAACTGAGATGATCGTTACTAAAGCGGGGAGGTAAAAATTATTAATACAGACAAAAATGGTTTAATAGTAAATGGGTTTTGCCATCACTAAATGTATAAATAAAGCTTGCAGTGGCACTAACAAACGGCGCAGGGGATAATTAAGCTCTACTGAGGCAAATTCATTTTAACCTGAGAAAACCAATTTATCTACTAGGAACTGGTGGTTTTTGACAATATTTAAAAAATATTATTTTTAAATGAAATGCTTTATAATTTATTAGCCATTGTAAAATTAATTATAAATTCTATAAATTATAGAATTAACAAACAAACGAATAGGTCATCACTAGCCTACTGTCACACTTATACTTAAAAAACATACATAAAAAGTTAAACTAAACTAAATTTATTGTGTGTTGGGGGAGGGAATTGCGTTACAGCAAATAATATTTAATTTGGCTCCCTACGATATTAAAAGTTACCTTTGTCCTTAAGTTGTCTACTTTCCACGTTGACAGTGACAGGAGAGCTGAACGTTAATATTATTTTAGCGCATAATTTTAGTGTGTAGACCTATGTCAAAATAATAATAATAAAAAAAATCTGTCTATAAAATCGGGAAATCCGTATTTGTTACCTTAGCAGTGCATTTAAAATGCTTTATAATTAATACTCTGTGCGAAATTTTAAAATACCTTTTTAATAATTTTTATTGTTTAATCTGTTACAACTTCAACAACACTGTATAACAAATGGGTTAGCAGAACAAAATGGTTACATATTCAGAAATTTTAAGCCAAGATAGTATAGATTATATAGATGTAAGATGTAAGAAATTATATTGGTGTCTGCGTTAAAACAAATGTCTATTAGTGACTGTTTGAAGTATTTTGAAAATGTGTGTTTTGTTACTGTGTGGGAAAATGTGCAGACATTTAGGCTACAGGACTTTGCAGAACACGCAGCACTTCATTAATTACCTCCCAAGGTAGCTATCGCGACAGAATTAAAACAGATACAGGTACTCCGTAATTAGCACGGCAGGTTATATCTGATTATGGAGCACAACTCAAAGGAAACTGTCCTTTTTACAAAATGGTGCTTTCAAGCTTTACGAGAATATGCGAAGCACCTTAGTTAAGAGAATTTTGTATAAAATCAATCTGCAAAGCAAGATAGGCCTAAGTGCGAAATATGGTGATATTACTGTACGAAGAATAAAATACCGTAAAATTCTTATTCTCGTTTCCAAATATGTCCAATAAGGAATATTCTTCTTAGGCCTATCTCATAATATATAAATAAAAAAAATATATTATAAAAATTACATTTCAGAAATCACACAACACTGTAAATTTATTCGGATAACGTTATGCAGACAGTTTAGATTTCGTATATCAGTTTTAGCATCTGCAAAAGGACAAATTAAGTTTAAATTAAGTAATAAATTATTTGTAAGCCTCTGCCGTATTTCTTGCTGATAATTTTTGTTCGTATTATCATCATTGCCGTTATTTAATGCATCATAACAGGTTAATTTCACGTCGGAACCTTAGTAGAATTAGACACGATTCGTTCATTATTTTCCAAACGCTGTGTTGTAATGGAATCCGATGTAATACTTTGTAGGAAGCCAAATATTTTTTCACGTGTTGCCTTCCAGTAATACGATGAGATTTACGATGCAAAGGAGCGGCAGGAGTAATATAAACATTTAAGTAACTAGATATTGAAATTACTTGCAAACAATAACCTACGGCCAGAAGACCAATAACTGCAATATATCTCAAACTGGTGTATTTGATTATATGTGAACTGTAATAAAACTGGATAACAAGCCCAGTACTATAGGGATGTTTTGAAACGTCGATTCTGTTTATCTTTCAGACGAATGTTCCCCGCGTTTCAGGTAAAACTTTTCGGACTTGATATCCACTCCGAATATATGCTTTTAATGGATTTTATACCACTCGATGATAAACGCTACAGGTATGTCAGATGACAGACGTCGCACGATCGATAGGCCTACCTGCTTGCAGGATATTGTCAGACATGATTTACAACACTTATCCACTTGGAATGTGGAATTAAATTTATTAACCCTAACTTTTTTCCAAGCATAATATATTTAGAGCGTATACCAAAGGCGTTTTACATTCGTACTGCCGAGGTTTAACGCTGACCTTTCGCTCGGCAGGTACGCCTTCCATAGCTCGTCATGGTTAGTCGCTGGGAAGGCGGATGCAGCCACGCCCGGACGGGTGCATTATCACCCAGACTCTCCAGCCAAAGGATCACAGTGGATGAAACAGATAGTCTCTTTTGATAAATTAAAACTCACCAATAACTTGCTAGATGACAACGGACATGTACGTATCCCTTAAGCAAGATCTATATAAAGCAGCCTCGTTTTGAGAATCCCTAAAGCTAGATTTTTTCCTATAAAAGAGCACCTTTACGAATTTCAACCTGATGTTATTTTCTTTCTATTGTTAATTCAAAATAAAGTAAGACAACGACCGACCACTGAAGCATACACGTCTGGCAAACAACATCGAGACTACGTGAGAAAAAAAATCGTTGCCTCCTGTTGCTTTTTTCAGATCATTCTCAACTCAATGCATAGATATCAGCCAAGATTTCATATCGTTTATGTTGATCCAAGGAAAGACAGCGAGAAGTACGCTGAAGAAAACTACAAGACCTTTGTGTTCGAGGAGACCCGATTCACTGCGGTAACAGCTTACCAGAATCACAGAGTAAGCCTGTCGCCTTTCCCCAGACCAACCCGTCACAGAATCACGTCCAATTGCACCCACACTTGAATATCTGCATGAATTAATAACAAGGCGGTTTTAACAGAAAAATAGGTGAATATAATTATTTCCTTTATCTTATCATTAAGGAAATTAGGACAATTGTGTATTTTCTGCTGATTAACACTTTTATGGCCCCAGCCCAATGATTAAACCACTGAGCAAATATTACTGGTCAGCAATTCTGCTAAAAGTTTCATGTTGTTGTTCAGTTATTCTGATATTCTCCAGTTTAATGACAGCTTCATGTGTCCAACAATGTATGGTTTTACACGGAAGACAGTGTTAGCTAACTATAAATGCTGCTTTAGGTGTACAGCCACGGGAAAATGTAAAAACAATCCCCTCCATTTCAATGATCCCATGTTTTCTTATAGACTGATAAACTGTGATGCAGTCTGGTGCTGCATAAAACTTTAACTGATAAATAAGTAAAGGATGTTATTGCTGATCCTTGAGTGAAATACTTTCTTATAGTCGCAGGGTACAATAACCATGTTTTGTCGATTGTAGATCACGCAGCTGAAAATTGCTAGCAATCCGTTTGCGAAGGGCTTTAGGGACTGTGATCCTGAAATGTGGTAAGCAGCAGGCCTGGAAGTGACTCATGATGCTCTGTTGAAACACTTTTCAAACGGAATCCTTCCATTTTTTAATTACTTGAATGATGCTTCTAGAAGATACACTGTGATCACTAACTATGACTGCCTTATAAATATGACAATACAGACATAATGAAACACTAATGCATACACGACGGGCAACATCGGCAGTCATAGGAATCCATAATCACACATTGGTCTGATTGTAGAGTATCATAAACAATTTTACCTCCTTCACTCAAAGGGTATCCTGTGCTAATACTAGGCAGGATCACTGAAGGAATGCCTCAGTACACAGCAATGACAAAAACAGGTGCTCTACAACCAGTCTGGTGGTTACATTTGAATTGCAACCATTCTATTATATCTATAGCTATTACTTTTCTAATGAAATTTCACGTAGTTTTTTACAGTCCAATTTGGATTGCAAGCACCACATAAGGATTCAAAACCAAATACCCTTTCAATGATGACATTGACAAAAAGTAGTTTTCAATACTAGGAAAAATCCATATTTAACTGGCAATAGTTTGTAACAAAAACATGCAAATTTTGCATTTTAATTCTATAGGCCTCGGAACCACAGGCCTCACTCTTTGCCAGTTGTGAACAACACTGTCAGAAACAGAAGCTCGTTGTCAGACCCTCACCCCGGCGGCACAGAGACAGGTTTGGGCCCCCAAACTAGTCAGGGGTGCGTTTCTCGAAACCATCGTTGCTACTGTACCTATACGTTAGCAACTTGCGTGGTTCCAACTATGTAAGTACGACGCAGGTGTTTCTCGAAACCATAGTTCAAACTGCATAGGTAACGATACTGCTGACTTACGTGGTACGATGCATCGTTAAACGACGCAGGTGTTTCTCGAAACCATAGTTCGAACGAACGTTCGCAAACACTGTCGTTAAGTTGTGTAGTTCGAACTACAGCTCGCGAGCTGTAGTTAGAAGCGTAGTTATATGTAAATTCGTCAGCGACGGTGGAAAATGCAGTTTAATAAGGGTATAGTCACCGTGTAAGTAAGAAATTTAATAATCTTTAATACCTAATAAGAAATAATTTAGCTCTACGATCACATATAATGTGAAGGTGTCTGAAAATGTAGTTTGAAACGTAATTGTTGTGTGGGTCTCTGGTCATAAGTACGGTAACTGTCTGTAGTGAGCAATAGGGACAAATCTCAGACTGCAAAGTATTAATTAGCACAGGGGTGGCTAATTTTATCCAGAAACAGCATGCAGCTTTTCACTGCAACTCCGTGCTTAGAGCAAAACGTAGAGGACCGATCGACTGAAGAGGTCGCACAACTGGGTTTGAGCAACTGATCCAACGGTTATCCCAAAAAAAAACATGCCAACACACCGGCCCTTTCCATAATGAAACAGTAGAATGACACTACAGCGGTCAGATACGAATCCATGCCTTTGTACTCGGGAAATGTCGTCTGTAATGTTTGGTTATTACACACACCTGTGTATTCCAGTCAGCCAGTATAACAACATTCTGTAAGCGACAACGTCGGAATAAAAGTTATTCTGTTTATCACTCCAAGGAGCGTCGCATTATTTTCCCGCGATTGCTAATTTTCATTTTATTGGCGTTGTGTGACTGACAGAAATTGATGTCACAAATAAATATATATGTGTGTGTGTGATTATTATATATTTTACACAGTTCGCGAGTGTTTGTACGCGACCGGCTGTGAAAGTGCGTTGTTATTTGTTGCGCATGACTTGCCGTGAGTCTGACCAATCAGCGCTGGAACCACTGTAGTTCCAACTACATAAGTCCTAACTAACGTGGTTCGAACAACTGTGGTACGACGGTTTCGAGAAACAGTCGTTGGTTGGATGTTGGTTAGTTTGAACTACCATAGTACGATGCATCGTTAATGCTAACTTCCGTCGTTGTTCGAGAAACGCACCCCAGAACAGTAACTGATCCGATCATTAAGATATCCACCTAAACTGACGGCCTGGTGTAGAACTGAGCTCACATAATTTCCTTGTTTAACGCAGAGGACAGTCTGTGGGACCACGACAGGGAACAGCCAAGCAGCACACCGACCCTTCCAGACCCAGCTCACCAACTCATGGCACGCATCCTGAGTCCCACTCTCTCGGTCCCAAGTGGACTCCATTCCGTGCCACTCTCCGCCGGCCGCCCCTCCCATGACACGCGCTTCGATGGATATCCTCATCCTCCAGACACCCTGGGCCACCTTCCTTACAAATTCACCACTACCTACCAGCACTACCTGGGCACCAAGGCTCGGCCAGCCCCCTACCCCCTGCCCAGCATGAGAGAGCACGGATACCCCCATACCTTGAACTCTACCAGCAACATATATACCACCCCAAGTGGCCCAAAAACATTTGAATATGGGCCAATATGAGTTTATTTTAGAAATATCAAAATGTAAAAAAAAAAAAAAAAAAAGCTCTAAAATCAGTTACTTGGCTATATGCGAAAAATCTAATATCTAGAGGAGAACATTCAGTGCACAACCTCAATTATGTGAGCACCATCATAGGGAAAGCTAGGGGGATCCACGAAGGCATCTTGTAGAAGACAGAGAGGTGACCCTGGTGCATACAGACAGTGCATTCCTTCTGGGCGGAGTTTGATTGTGGGCAATTTTGTGTCATCATAAGCAGCCCAGTGGCAGAGGTGCCGTGGAAGTCCACACACTGGTGAGAGATCCGAAACATCATCAGGGCCAGCAAAATAACTTCACATGTACCTGAAGGAGGATAAGAAGAAACGAGAATTAAGAAACCCCACCACCAAGTCCCTGGAGATACTCTTGGAGGCCTGTACATCCAGCTTGGACTCCCTATTATTCCAAATGGTTTCAAAGGGCAGTTAAGGAGATTAACAAGAAATGTTTCTTGCCATGCTGTTAGGTATATACTATACAATTTCAGCATGTTTAACTCTTTACAATAACCCATATTGAAGCAAAAAGTTGACACTTTTATGTACAGCCAGATTGTTTCCTTGGTTGTAGTATTGTGGTAGTTTCAAGATGGCTTTCCTTGGAAAAGTCCAGTTTTCTGTAACTTAACAAAAGGTTGAATTGACACGTTTCACTGGACCATATTTTACTGGAATTCAGAGATTATGCTATAATTCTGGATGTTTTTTAAAAAAAAGACATAAAAGGCCCATGCGTTTTTATTTGCATGTTGAAGTGTGCTGCCCCGTTTGGCGACAAACTGACATCTGACTGGCTATTGTCACGTTGCAGTTCTATGTACAAGATTTAAATGATCCAGCAGATATGAAAATATTAAGTCATTATTGGTGTCAGTTTATGAAATACTCAGTGTTCTTCATTAGTGCAGTCAATTTTCTGCTGACTTCAAGAGAAAGTTTTTGAAATATGCATGCGTGAAGATATGTATAGTTTCTGTAGATATGTAAAGATTAATGTTATTACTGTTTGAAGTTGAAATTGGATGTTGAAACTGAATGAAGCTTGATAAATGAATAGAAAAGCACAAAGCCTTTTGTGATTAATATAAGGAAAGATTCACACCATGATGTTAAGAGGAAGGAGTGACACTGAAAACCTTTCAAGCCCATAGTGGAGCTGTTTAACAAAGGCCAGATGAAAATGTAGTATTTTTCTGTATCTGACCCTCAGAAAGAGCATAATTTTACCCATTTTATTGTTACTCAACTGCACTTTACAATACATCTTCGAAATAAAAACAACAGCAGAAGAGTAACCAGTGTCAAAGCACAAATCATGCAAGCTGACCTTCATCCTGTGGTTCTCTTATTATACAAACCTAGTCGGTCATCAACATTTGAAGCAAGTGCGTCATGTTGCTATTCTGAAAGAGGTTACATACAATTAGGAGTTCTGACTCTGATAACAGTTCAGATTGAAAATATACCACCATCCCACCCCAGTTTATTAAAAGGCAATTGTCAAAGCCACACAATTCACACCTCATGAAATAGATCCCTCACCTCATCCAACAGTTATCCATGAGGCAAACAAATGAGTGCACATGGAGAAGAACGTCACCCCTCACATCTCACCCCAAAAGCCATGTTTTTCAACACTAAATGCTGCATGCCAACTAGCCGTTATATATACAACGAACCACCAGAAGCCAAGAGATGCAAAGGAAAATAGTTTGAGGGTAATAAGGAATTCTGCTCTTTGAAGATCTGAGGGATGCAGTTTGAGGACTCTGACTGGTGTCCCTACTTTAACGGAAACAGTCTGTCAGCCCATCATCACTCATAGCCACAGCAACTCATTGGAATAGACCCCACCCCTGGCCCCCTGCCCAAGGCACTGTAGGCAATGTGGTAAAGTGAGCAGGATCCAGTCATTGTTAGACCTCAGGCTGTTAAATCACTTACTTGCAAAGGATGTGGGGATTAAGATGGCTATGATGATGGCTGAAGGTAGAGTCAAAGGTTAAACAATGATATCAGCAGCTAAAGCAAGGCCAAATTAATTTGGGGGGAGGGGGGCATGGAAGGCCTTAATTCATATGGTACTTACATCAATACCTATACATTAGAAGAAACAAACTGAAACACGTTTCCCAACTTTCTGGGAGAAAGTTGGGTTTCCTATACCCAGTACATCATCGGTTCCTGTGTTCCCAACCAGGAAGTACTGTACTTGTTTGGGTGCCCAGACAGCAGAGACTCTCCTCAGAGCATCGAATCAGTGGACACAAGTTCCTATAGTCAGCATGACAAATCATAAGTCACTCATTTTAGGATATATTACCAAATATATTGCTTAAAAAAGATTTAGCCAAAACAGACCATTACCATTATGGTTGACTGTCAAAATATAGTTTTTTATTTACCAGTATATTGACATTACACTGTTTTGATACGATAAAAAAAATGCAGCTTTAACAGGAAAGTTAGTTCACAACATGCATGTAGAAAATATCTACAGTGAACAACATGAAAAACTATTGACAAAAGGCACAAGCCTCATACTATTGGTTGTAGAAAACCTGAAACTACATAAAAACTAAAAATGAAAAATGGTGTTAAATGTGCTTAGTTTTTAATGTCATTACAAGGTGCTTTGTGTTTAGGTTTGTAGCGTTACGTCTGACAAACTAGCTAGTTAAAAGATTGCAAACGATGCAAACAAAATCCAATTTACAGGCACATAAGCTAGAAATTGTTTAGCAGGGCATGTCAAGGAAACAATTTCCAAAACATGTACAAAATGTTGTGACACACCAGCTAGATATATGGGGTTGAGGGTATTTCCCCCCCAGTTTTCTGGTTAATTACTACAATGATTAAACATCGGGCTGCACGTACCGGACCACACTGTAACGCAGACTTCGGTGCCACTTACACGGCTGATTTGCCGACTGAAACATTTTCATTCTGAAGCTCAGGCGACAGAAGCGTCACTGCGCGTCACCACCATCGCTAGTTAACGTTACACTCTCCCTGATGTCCGCAGACGCTTAACGTTATCTAGTGGCTACACTGAGCACTTTTAAAATGCTTAAAGTTAAACGCCCTGAAATGTGGGAGTATTTCGCTCAAAACAGCTTAAAATGATTGTTTTATGGCCATTTACTTTCCAAGAAGTGCCAGCGACCAGCGACCCGAACATCTACAGAGCAGTAAAGTGTCTATATTTTACGCGTACTTCTAAAGTGCTGCGTTTGTAAACAGCGACTCAAACAAAAACGTGTTTTTGCCCATTATTTCATCTCCCTGATTCAGAATTACTTAGATTATTACTGGAATCAAGTAAAAACATTAGAATTTTGTTCATATTTAACCCAAACAAAATCAGAATTTATCAAACGTGGCGTATGCACATGTAATTTGTAACTGCATGCTCATATCATATGCAAATCAAGCCGTTTTGGTTGTGAAAGCCAAAGTCAGCGATGTAAATAAGAAGAATTTTAAACAGTGAAAGTTAGAGGCACAATAAAATGTTATGTTTAGGGGTCTAATGCCATTTATCACAAGCAAGAATGTATAGACACATTTTTCAACTGTTTATCACACATGAATATACACTCACGGGCCACTTTATTAGGGTATACCTCTTCAACTGCTTGTTGAACCACATATCTAAATCAGCCAATCATTTGTCAACAGCACAATGTATAAAATCATTCAGATACAGGACAAGAACTACAGTTAATATTAATATCAAACACCAGAATGGGGAAGAAAGTTAAAGTGATTTTAAACATGGCATGGTTCTTGGTGCCAGGTGGGCTGGTGTGAGGATTTTAGAAACTGCTGATCTGGGATTTTCACGCACAATCATCTCTAGGGTTTACAGAGAAAAAAAAAACATCCAACGAGTTCTCTGGGCTGAAATGCTTTTTTGATGGCAGAGGTCTGAGAAGAATGGCCAGACTGATTCAAGCTGATAGAAAGGCAATAGTAACTCAAATAACCACTTGTTATAACCAAGGTGTGCAGAACATCATCTCTGAACCCACAAAACATCAGCTACAGCAGCAGAAAACCACACTGAGTGCCACTCCTGTCTGCTAAGAACAGGAAACTGAGGATACAGTGGGCATGGGCTCACCAAAATTGTGCAATGGAAGACTGGAAAAACATTTCCTGGTCAGATAAGTTTCGATTGCTGCAACATTCAGATGGTAGGGTCAGAATTTCACGTGAACCACATGAAAGTGTAAGCACAGGAACTGTAACATTCATTATTTTATTTTATATTGAGGTTGAATTAATGTGGAGAGACCGTCACTGGTGAGGGGTAGAACATGATTCAGGTGAGTGTTGTTACATGGAGGGTTGTAGTTAAAAGCGGGTACAGTAGCTCAGCGGCTGGTTGTAAGCTTTCACAAGATACATCACTAAACACGACAGATGTGGATAAGTGAGTCTGGTCTCTTCTGGTCACCTCCCGTGAGCCGTGAGCCCATGAACCCCGTCCTCCGGGTGAGTTCAGCCTCAACTCCGAAGGAATACTACACCACAACAACTTTACAAAAAAATTTACAAAAACATGGCTCAATCCTGCCTTGTATCCAGGGTTGAACTGGGATTAAATTTCGGGTCTGGACTTTGGGATTTCTGATGGCCTTGAGTGCTCTTCGTGGGAAATATTTTGCAGACTTGGTGGGGGGGGGGGGGGGGGCGGCACCCCTCCATATATTTTACTGTCAACTATACACATTGGCTTACCAGGAAATTGCTTGGTATGCCAGATGGCCAGTTCGGCTATACTTGTATTTACAATGCAGGCTGCTGCTGGTGGTGTAATGGCTCGGGGGATATTTTCTTGGCATACTTTATGCCCCTTAGTAACAAGTGAGCATCATTTAAATTCCATAGCATACCTGAGTATTATTTTCCATACCTTCATGACCACAGTGTATCCAGCTTCTAATGGCTACTTCCAGCAGGATAACGCACCATGTCACAAAGCTCATATCTTGGACTGGTTTCTTGAACGTGACAATGAGTTCACTGTACTCAAATGGCCCCCAGAATCACCAGATCTCAATCCAGTACAGCACCTATGGAATGTGGTGGAACGGGAACTTCACATTATGAAGGTGCAGCAGACACATCTGCAGCAACTGTGTGATGCTAGTATGTCAACATGGACCAACATCACTGAGAAATGTTTTAAGCACCTTGTTGAATCTACACCATGAAGAATTAAGGCACTTCTGAAAGCAAAGTGATGCATCTAGCATTCACAGTAATATGCACTTTTAGATTAGATGTCAAATTGCACTTTGTTGTCCGCATACTTGTAATTAGTTAAATCTAAAAAAGTTTGCTGAATGGCAACACATCGCCATTGCAGTAAATTCTCCCAGCTCTACAAACCACCCCAAAAAAATAGCGGTTGGGTCAGAAGACAGAAAGAACTGACTTGCTGTGCACTGGGTCAGTGTGACTGAATTTATAAGGGGCAAACCCCTATCCATGCCCTCAAACTTCAACATGCGTAAGGCATGTATAACAGGGGACACCCTATTATGCGGTTTTGTGTCATAGCATTCGAGAAATACTGATAGGGTAAGGAAACTGAAAATGAACAAATCATAAGTTGACCCAGACCATCGAGTTACCATCGAATGGCCTCCTCTCGTTTGTATAGTTCTTATGTTCTTATTTGTCACTATCATGTCAGCATTACAGATAAATTGCATCTTAATAGAATGACTGACAACTGATTTTGACTGACAAACATAGCTTACTTCTGCATCTGCTGCTGTATCCTGTTGTGAATTGCATAAATAAAACTGATTTGATTGGAGGTATCCTTATCACAATGTCAGTGCAGTCGATTTCCACGATTACATTAGACCTGGACATCACTACAAATGGTGAACATGCAAATGTAAAAACTAACAGCATTCGGAAACATACATTTAATGCAATTAACTCATTCCTTTCGAATACTTCCATTTACGTAGTCACTAGCAAGAACACCATTGTGCTGTATCATTCTTATGACTAAAGACTATTTTCATGTGGATCC